TTAATTTTTCATCAAAAGATTCTCGAAATTCGAGGCAAATGCTTAGAATTTTCAGGTCTTTATAACCAATATTTTTGTATTAATAATTGAAAATTCATGGGAAATTGTGAGGAAATTAATTCTCTCCTCATTTCATTTGAGAACAGAACTGAATATTTATAGTTCCGACGAATAAAATTTACAATTCTCATTAAAAAATAGAATCTCTCTGCGATATCACAAAATAGCGAGAATACTGATGTTTACCTGGAGGATTTATCCTAAATTCCTATTCCTAAATTCAATAAAAATCTGGAAATGTCTGGACACTCCGAATTCTGAGAACCCTCATTGAAAAATTGAATTGAAAATGCAGGGATCGACAAAAGTCACGACTTGAGTGATATTAAAAGAAGTTTCCCTTGAATTAATTAAAGTTCACTAATTTCTACTAAAATTTGAAAATAATTTTCAATTCTTTACTGGACTAGCATCATCGCCCATTCTCTCTCAACAACCAAAAAAGATCGTAAAGTCATCACTCCTCGGATACTCTAAAGAATAATCCTCAAATTTTTACCAGATACCTAGCTAAAACGTGCCCCTAAAGATGAAAGATAAATACGTATCTCGAAGCTCGAAAGAAGTGCCGTTGCTTTGTAAATTACTTAAACGAATTAAAATAATGAATACTCCCCTGACCCAGTTCCCACGAAATAATTCGCTGCGTTCTATTCTCCCCTGCCATAAAAACGAAGAGGAGTTTGAAAAAAAATCTCGTGCGAAAGAAATCCAAGTCTCAAGTCGCGAATTCCGTCGACTACGCGAAGAGAAAAGTTGGACAAAAATTACCTACAAAATTGTGGCTAATTTTACTGTATGAAAGGTAATCGTGGAGCGAAATCTAATTCAATAAAAAACACCTGTTTGTGGAGAATATTTTACGATTCGTTCGATAAAAAAATAGATTTGTGAAAAATCAGTTGAATTCTAGAATTATTCATTGGAATTGCAATTCTCAGGTTCACATGACAGTGAAAATTATTAAATATTTAAAACATTTAAGCAACAATTCAGTAGCGAAGCGGTAAACTGTGTCAAGTCGATTTTGACTATTGGCCAGTTTTTGACGAATATCTCGGAATCTAAAAGAGATAGAAAATTTTTTGTCATGACCTTTTTTGTAGGGCCATTTGAGGGGTATAAAAAAGGTCATGGGAAAAATTTTGCTATCGCTCTTAGATTCCAAGATATTCATCAAAAATTGACTAAAAGGAAAAATCGACTGAACCCGGTTTACCGCTTCGTTACTGAATTTTCCTGGCTTTTCAAGCCACTAAAAATTCAGTTGGATGTGATTTTCAATTTTCGCAATTATCATTGACGTATCAATGATAATCCAAAATGGAAAACCCTATAATCCATGGATTTCCAGGCTGAATGAGTGATTTCAAGAACGATTTGACCTTAACTTAAATTCAAGTTCCCAACATTGAGAATTTAAAAGCAGCTATTGTTTAATTTTCAATAAATTTCCCAAAGTGAGCGCTTCGGTAAAACATAAATCTGCGTCATAGAAAAATTGTGCGCAATATTGAGGAATCACTCACGTTCACTGAGATAATTTTTAATGGAAGACAGGGTAAAATACCGAAAATCGAGTTCGCTCCACGATCACTTGCCTCGTCCTGCAATTTCTCTCCAGCATTTCCTCCGCGTACCAGCCAGTCCTCTCGACATTCTATCGAATTCCAAAAAAACCATTAAACTAGGGGAAAAAGCGCATCATCCACGTGTATACGACGACGACTAATAACTATAATTGAACTTAATTAACAAATTAATTGTAAAAATCACCAAGAATCCGATGAATCACGCAGCCGCTCACAAATTTGCTACCGATCGAACGACGAAAATTGAATGAACCAAAAGAACATGAATCGAATAACATAGAAAATACGACGGAATTTCTCACGTGTAAACAAACGCCACAAATAAATAAATTGAAATATCGTCGGCTCATCGAAACCAACCGGGCGTTTTCACCAGACTAAAAGTAATCAACGCAACTAGATAAAAAAATAATTTCAACTCGTTCACGACGCAGAATAAAAAAAATTATAAAACTACATTCATAATAAATTCCGATTAACCATCAAGAGAGTGAAAAAAAAGCAAACGCTGAAACCTATCGACTAGTGAGAGACGATTGAAATTGAATAAATCGATCTAAATATGAACAAACTAATGAAAATTTAGCATTACGTATTTCATTACTTAAAAATTTAATAACGATGAGATGATAAAGAAAAATAATTATTTAAAACAACAAAAAAACACGTAATTACGTTAAGGGTTTTTCTACTTATCTATATATAAATATATAAATATTATAAATAATTGAGGATGCAGATAACCATGGTAACACGTATAAATACACGTACATACACACATGGATATTATATAAATATAAATATGGTGTGAATGAGCGAGAGGCTGAAACTAATACACTGACTATAAAACAATTTAAAAGAAAAATACCACTTAAATTTATTTCAAATAAATTGATAAATACCCTGTCGATAATAATTATCACACTTTGTCACTAGACTTGAAAGAGAAAATATAATGAGGAGACTCGGTAGAATTTCATACTTTTGCAAATAATCGACACTTCGATCTCTAAATAATGGAAATATTTAAAATGCGCGTTACGTTATTAATAATCGCATGTCTATTATTTACCATTCTTTCGTCGTTTTTAATAACTCTTGTGTCACCCCACCCCCCCACTCCCCCCTTTACCCCTCTTTCTTCTATTTTTCCCCCATATCCCTTACTGTTTTCAGTGAGTTTGAATCTTGTGATGTTGTTTGTGCGCCTGGCAATCAAGGCTCGGTCGCTGAATATAATTATATTCAATTAAATGTTCAGTGATTAAGAAAATAATGAAGAAACAATGTATTGGTAATGGATATATTGGTTAATATCCGGTGGCAGATTGCGTCGAGAATAAAAAGTAATAGGATTTAATTAGTGAGAGAAATTTTTAATGAATTTAAACGAAGATTTAAAAAAACCACTCGCTGCTTCAACAATCGTTCAGTAATTGGCGCGTAGGAAGAGAAATTAATGAATCTTTCGGCCTTGTCCATTAACAAAAATGTAAAATTACCACGAGTGAAGACATTTTAAAAGAGTTGAATCCTACGAATCATTAAATTGTAATAAAGTGTTGCCTTAATAACTAATGTTGATAGAAAATTTAAAAAAAAACAAATTCGCAAGGAGGCAAAGGAAATTTCCCATACAAAAATCGATCAGCGGCATCTGCATTTGATAATTGAATAACCATTCTAGTCATTTTCAACTCATAAGAATCAAAACTCAGAATGTAGTTTAAAGTGAGACGAGGCGCAATGGCAAGAGGGAAAAATCCCACTGGAGATGAAAAAACCACAGGATGAAGTGTATAAAAGATTAATGGCAGTCTGTGTCCTTGCGAGAATGTCGTATGACTGCGTTTTGAAGTAAAAAAAGTAAAACGAAGACGACTCTGTTCATGTGTGTGCCGCGATAAAGCCTCAGATTTACGCGGCAGTCCCGTTGTTATAAAAATTTTAATGAAAAAAAAAACTATATATGAAAATTTAAAAAATAAACCATTGAAAGCTTTAACTTTGAATAAACTTAAATTTAACTAAACGGTATAGTGATTAAATGGAGCAGGTGGATAAACGTTGACATGAGAAATAAATTTTCTTCTTCTATTTTCAGTAATCCATTGTTTAGTGAATGGATAAGTGGATAATTCAGTGTAAAATACAGTGAGAGTAGACGGATCGGGGGATTTTGAGTGAAGAAAAATTGTTTCTCAGCGAAAGATTGTATCTTTATATAAATAAATATTGTATAGTAACGCGTAAGCCACGTCCATTGGCTGGTAAATATCATCGAGAGACTCTTTCTGCGAGTGATTTAATGTATATTAGGGTAATTTGGGAAATCGAGGGGAGAGTGGCTGCACGGAGGTGACTTACGCGTGAGCTTCGTTTAACATTGTTTTACGAGAGATTAATAAATTATTTGAGAGGGTGTATTATTCTTCGACGACGCATCTGCCGTAGCGTAATAATGAAGAAAATGGGATAATGTTTTGTGGATAGGAGGTGAACAAAGGGTGTGAGAAATATTATTATTAGCCGATGATTAAATTATATTTGAGTGTGGGAGGATGGCGATATTCAGCATGATTGAGAGTGAGAGGTATGAATTTTAAGAGAAACGTAAACATGCATTATTAAAAACTATGTATTTACGCAGTATCGGAGTACCTACCTTATACATAAATATTATGCATATATAAATAGCTAGTTCAATTTGCAAAATTAGTGTGTATTGTCGCTTCGATAATGAAAAAAAACAAATACCCAGTCATTACTCGCCAGAAATCCAAACAAATGAAAACCCGAGAACAAAACCAATTTCAAGTTCATTCTTTTTTTAAGGAAAATAAACAATAAATAATGTATTAAAATATTTAATATTCAAAAGTGTTTTGGAGTTTTATTTCACCATTTGATGGACTACATCCAATTATGCCAAGCAGACGGAATTTTTATGAGATATTTAGGTTTTTCACGATTTTTCTAATTACACTTTAATTTCAGTAATTAATTTTTATTAATGTTTAAATTTTTTTTATTGTTCTTCTATATTTTAAACAATAGAACTATTAATTTATTGATAGTGTGCTCACTCCCGATAGCAGAGAATCCTGAATTACCATCAGTCGATAACGCAAATGGGCGGCAATTTCAATAGACTCCAAATGCCGGAATAAAACAAGAAGACTCGAAAGCGATAAATTGAGTTTTCGTTACAGCGAGAGTTACTACCGAGCTATCAACCAGTGACAATTGAGTTTTTCCATCGAAGATTCAAGGCTAGACAGTTCTCAACTAATCTCTGCCCCACAAATTCCCCCCGTGACTCCCACAAATTCAATAAAACCCAAGTGATAATAATTTTAGAGCCTTTTATTGAGTTTATCATAATGCATTCAATCGATACAATGATATCTTGTGGTATACTGTCGTATCTCATGGGTCCAAACATCGTCAATTTCCCCGCCCAACGTTGCGCCGTTCATCGGAATTTCCAAAGAGCTTTGGAAATAAAATTGTGTCAAAAAATTATATTATTCCTCAACGGCCGAGTCCTAGCCATCTCTATATTTAAAAAATGTCCGTCCAACGTTGGCTGGCAAAATCGCCGACATCCCGCCCTCATTCACAAATTTCAATTAAAAAAACATATTCAAAAAATCGAAGAAACAGAACAATGTATTCAATCGGGGGATTTTTCCACGGGACGGAGACAAAAATGTGAAGAATGCAGGAAAAGGATTTTTTTAATTTCACTCATATCTCAAGTGTTTCATCTTTCACAGGAAGGAATGAAAAATATGAATATATTTTATACAGCGAATCCATAAATGTTAAATGTTAATTCTCTCCTTATGATCAATTCACATTTTTTTTTCATTTTTCTCATTATTTTTTTTTTGTATCTTCACTTACTAAAATGTTAGGTAGTGCCTAAGTCGATGCCACAAAGTTTGACGAATGCACGAGTGCATTATCACCCCGGGCATTAGTTTTTATCGTATACTAGCTGTGCCGAATGCACTTGTACTGGTCGCAAAAAACAACTTGAAATGAAAAATCATGAAAAAACAATTGAGAGGGTAAAAATTGGCCAAAGACAGTGGTAAACACGCAAAATTCCTGCAATTGTCGCCGCAATGACCTGCGCGTCTTTTCTCTCCCTCTCCTCGTCCCTCTCACTCTCGCCTACCCACGATCTTTTACAAATCAATACTACCTTTAGCCAATAGCTACACTCCTTTTGCGACATATTTATTAACAACAGTGTTAACCCACCTAATCGCGTTTCCCTCAAATGTTTTTTTTTTATCGTCTTCACCATTTTATACAACAGAAGAGGATTATCCTTTCCTCTTCCTCTGTTTTCGTCTAAACACTAGTTATGCATCGTTTATCATCGATCGGCGTAGGTTCACCTCGTCCTCATGTACCTCGTCAACTCGTTTAATCGATAAAATTAATAATATATCATATTCACTTGTCCAATCACTATAATTCTTTCTCCATGATTCAGTGATGATTTATCCAAAAAGACAGTAAAATAAGATAAAATTCCTCGCAGCAGTACAGATGACGTAATTGTAATAATACACTTGTAAAAATGTAGTAATCACGTTAATAATAATGGCAATAACTAATAAATCATTGTTATAATAGCAACGCCGTTCATAATGATGTCTTCAGCTGTTACAATTTGTCTAGAGACTAATCTTCATTTCTTCATTTATCATTTATATACTTCTATATGCTACAATATATAATAATTTTCATGTTGAAAAATCGTATACATCAGTGTTGTGTTGCAGGACCATTGCTTCGTTTCCCATCTTAATTTATCTTTTCTTATTCTTCTTAAATATATAATATATTTTCGTTCTCGTAAATTTTTTTCTTCGTTTAGTCATTCTTTTTTCTTTTTCACTGCTCTGCATCTCAGGGAGACTGCTAAATCTTTTGGGAAAGGCGGCATTGGATACAAGGAGTGCCGCAAAAATATATATCTTACTCTTTTTTTTTTTGACTGAAGAAACACTAGTTTCCATTTCTCAACTGTTTATCGTATCTTGATGGGGCTGATCTTCACTGTCGAATATATTCAATTTTAAAATGATAATATTGATGATAAGGAGACACTCCTTGTCCTCGGGAAACAGAATATCTTAATATTATTAATTTTAATATCGATCTTATTTCGTATTGCTCGCCTTTAGGGGGGGAGCATTGGATCACAGATTGTATGGTGATCGAATCTTATTTATCATTTGCATTTTACTTTTAAAGGATTTGTTTTAAAATGTTTCCAGTATCTTCTAAGGATTTCAAGGCGACAGCTCCTGAAAGCAGACATTGGCCACATGTAGGCACGCCAGGCGTATAACAAATCGCCGAACATCTCACATTTTTCAATTCTAATCATCCGTTTTTTTAATAGATTATTTCTCCCTCAGTTTGATTATTCATAGGTATATACACACAGTACATGTACAATGGAAATATCTGAATTTACACAGTTACGTGGATTATCTATGTACGATCAAACGTGAAATGAAATATTGAAAGTGGAAGAACGAAAAATTGGAGAGAAAAAAATTACGAGATCAAATGTCGGATTTGTCTGGGGGGAAACGGTGATGGTAAATAAATTGAATTGTGACACGTGCTATGAAAATCATTGGCTTTACGAAGTATGATTACAACATGCATGTACAATTTTCCAACATAAGAGACATTGCAAATAAGTTTGATTGGTCGTAAATGAAAAACATTAAACTTAATGTGTCAAGAACGGCGCAACCAGTATGACAAGAAGCTTAACTTAAACGTTTTAAAAAAAAAAATCTGTACGTGAACCATGGGAAGCATATTCAGTAGCTAGGCGTATGAGTAATAAAAATAATGTTTAAACAAAATGATGGATAATCGTGTGGATTCGAGAGAAACGAGAGTAAACGCATGGCAACAGACAGGTGAGCATGAAGATTCAATCGAAATGTACAAGTTCATTTTGTATTGATTGATTTTTGTTGTTTCGTCGTATACAAAGTGTTTTTTATCCTCTGTATTGTCCTCTCATTCTGAAGAAACAGATACATCACGTGTACGGGTGGCAGTTGTGACGAGAAAGTTTCAATAGGGAACTTGCATTAATTTTTTTTCCTTTTTTAATTTCAAGTTTCAGCCTTGAATGGTTAATTTTTCATTTATAAACGTCAAAAATATTGCTGGTTAATTGATAATTGATTGGCGATGGTTAAATATTTCAAACGCTTTGAACTCGTTGATGACGTCACAAGGGCGGACGCACGCTGGACCAATCGCGGCGTGACTCGAGTCAACTAACCCATCCTCACGTGCGCGTTATCCAATGGATGACGGCGACTCCTCTCTCCCCGCACATTCGACCAATGGAGCGTTAGCTAGCATTACTCATGCCACTTTATGACGTCATGATCGGAATAATAGATTTCGACAGCGTTTGATTTTCAATTAATTATTATAAAATATCAGTAGCGAATTAAAGTAAAACGGTTTAAGTCAATTTAGCCCGAGTTTTCGAGGAATATCTTCGAATCTAAGGGAGCTAGCGAAATTGTCATAATAACCTTTTTTGTAGAGCGAGTTAAGAGCTACAAAAAAGGTCATGACAATAATTTGGCTATCTCCCTTAGATTTCGAGATAATCATCGAAAACTGGCCAGTGAACAATCGGTGAACAGGGAAATTCGGGAAAACAACTTCATACAAGTTTCCTATTTTCAATCGTCACAAAATATCAGCTGTGTTTCCAACTAATGTGATAAGAGTACGCGGAGTTGTGTACGTGCTCTTGTGTTGAACTTCTGGCTCGTGTTAGTTATCTCTCTTGTATTCGAAAATGTACGATCGAGTGCGTTCATCACTTCCAAGTGTTTTATATCCTCATGTGTTCGTTTATCTGTCTCTCGTCCTAGCGAGTACCTCCTTTCGTCCCTCACACCTCGCTCTTCCTGCTCTATTTAATATCCCTTCGTTTGCATTTTACTTTGTTTTTCATTTTATGGTTTTTCTTTGCTTTTTTGCTCTTTTATTCTCTCGGTAATTTGTTTAATTTCCCTCCTAAACCCGTGGTCGTTTTTCATCCCGGTCTGAATCGGAATCCGCTGAATCGTGGAGAGGCGGAAACTCTGGTACGGCATCGCGCTGCTGCATCCATCCAGCCCCCATCTTGCCCTGCGTGTAATTATTTCATTTTTTTTTCTATCTGACTATTTTTCGTTTTAATCCGAAAAGGTTTTGGAAAATTCTGGAGTAAAGTGGAGAAACGAAATGAGCCACCAATTTTTGGGAGAACTCCAAGAATTGATAGGGTGAAGTTGACTTATTTCATTTCATCTCTTGCATTTTTGATGAGCGATTCGAAATTTTAGAGAAGCAGAAGACAAATTTCAAATTTTCATCAAAAACTCAACTTTTCAAGAGAATTCAAATTTAGACCTAATTCACTGTCTAATCAATGAAAGATTTTTGCCCCAATTGCCAAAAGAACAAAAACAATGATGAAGTGTGATATGAAATGATAAAAAAACATTCGCATGACAAACACCCAGAGCCTTCGACGCATCGAAGAAACATCCCAATCTGCACTGAGAGGGAAAATTAGTTCTGCCGATAAATTATATTCCCTTGAAGAGATCTTTTGTCGTGGTGAATCGATTTACTTGTGGGCAAAACAGAAAATTTCCACCAAAACATGATTATTTTCGTAGTAGTAATTGTTATCGTGAGACATATGTCTTTCAGGTAAATACATTCGTTCTACAGAGAATTATATAAGGCTCCGGTTTTATCAAGTAAATGTTATTGAGTAGTGTATATCTTTGTCCAATAAACACTTATAATTTCCATGGAACAAATGATAATTTCAAGAGGAAACTACAATTTTCTCGCCGATAACTGTGTTATTGGGAAAAATAAATAATTTCGAGGGGGCAATTTTTTTTTGGGAAAAAAATATTCTTTCCTCGTCAATGTATTCTTTCTATGGTATAAACCTGGGGGGTTCTCTCAGATCAAATTCGAATTCTTCTAGGGATATTTCTGATCATCACGAGAAAAATTTAATTTTTGTGAGATATTAAATTTCTTTCGATCGAGTTGATTAATTTCCCTCAAGTAAATCTGTTCCACTCCATCAAATATTCTCACGTCGAACATGTAGATTTTCGGCAGAGCTAATTTTTCTCTCAGTGTAACTCCAAATAGTGAGAAATGCCGTTTCCAACCGTTCGTAGAGGACAATGCACGCACATATCTGTGGTATGGTGTTCTGCACATGCACTCATGCCAAGAAAGTATCTCAATAAATTTGCCCCTCAACTTATAAGTGTTCATTAACACAGTGTAAATGCTTCCTCTGCGATCAGCAACAATTGCGCAGGAAAAAAAAATGAACAATTGAGTAACGAAAGCCAAAAGAGCGACGAGTGATTTGCATATGCACAGAGTACGCCAGAAAAATCTCACGATGTACTTGATATCTACCATTTCCAGATTTAATTTGGCGTGCTCTGGGTAGAGTTAAAACTATGTACAAAAAAAATTATCCACTGGGAAAGTTTGTGGTACTCGTTAGCCTAGGGCTCTACGCAGATTCTTAAATCATAATTCTCATTTTTTTTTCTATAAATATATTCCATATATCTCGAGTCTAGTCTAGCTCCAACTAGTCAATCAATTCTTATTGCACTTTTAATTGAGTTAGCACCCAATTTAAGGATATCCAAGTATTTTTTGATTCAACCATTTTCAATCATGAAATTTGGCAATTGAAGGGCGTGAGCAAAATTTGAAAAAAAAAATGATGATTATTCAGCATCACTTGAATGACATTTTGCACAGAATTATTATTTTTTTAACATTCGTGGTTTATAAATAAATAATTGAAGTGGTGAAACTTTTTGAAACTTCATTTTTATAAAAATGAAATCGATTTCTGGTTAAATTCTGAATATGAATAAATTTGTTACGATTCCAAAAAAATTATTTTTATGATGGAATTATCAGAAATTACAATTTTTAAATTATTTCGTCAATCTTCCTCCAAGTGTAAACTTTTAGATTTAAATTTAAATAATTAAATTATTAATTTAATTTTTTTTCAGACTTTTAAAATGCTTTCCAACGGTCCAAATAAATAATAAAAATTGAGAAGATTGACCACAACAATATCAAGAGGCGACAAATAAATTTTTTTTTTTCTATTTCGATTTATCAATTTTTATCGACAAAATAGTGATTAGTCTTTCTGGATCTCAAATAAAATAATACTCACTATTTAACATCATAATTTCACTCTTTAAAAGTCCACGAAATAATTTTTCATGTTGAAACGAAAAATTTAATTTCATTCAATTTCAATTCCATTAAATGCGATAGTTTCTAAAAAATTCTATCAATCATTTCCGTTCAACCAGGATTTTATCCAACTCTACTTCATATTCATTTCACACTCACACCCCGAAGCGAAGGGAGTCGTCTACAATTAAATACTGAAAACACGATCAAAGGAGCACTAAAATGAAGGAATGGCTGCAAAACTCATTCTATCCCGAAATGAATAAAAAAAATAGTACGAGTGTTTAAACCAATATTAAGATTAAAATTCAGACCTGCAAAATTTAACTAATAAAATCATTTTAAACTACCCGAAAGACAGAGTCAAATGGGGCTCAAACGAAAGCCCCCATATTCCAAACCAAAAATGTAAAAGCATTTCACTAGAGAAAAAATTACCTAAAGTACTTGGATATCCTTACCGACGAACTCACCAATAAAAACTATTGAAATCATTCATCACCTCGTTCTTCCACAACTCTAAACGATCCAATTGGATCGATAAACCCGATGATCAATATCAAACGTTATATTGCACTCTAATTCAACGTAAACCTCTCAACGCAGTACGAGATCCTTTCAATCGAAGAGAAAAAAAATCTAATTTCCCATTTTCCAACTCTACAAAGTCGACAGTGCTTGTTGCAACGGAGAGACTCCATTCGTCCTGTCCCGATGATTATTATTGGAACATAAAAGCCTCGTCGCGTCACTGTAAAACAACACGATAACCGAAACAATAAATAAAAAAAAGTAACATTCGATTGTTTATGTCCATTCGTTCGTTAGCTCTTAATCCCCTCCTCATTCCTGTTAAACTTGCACTCAACTATTTTTCAAAACTCATTTGCGTCTCTCTTCTATCCTTTGTTACGTTGGGGGGGAGGGGGGTAATGAAAAAAAAAAACGTACTACGGTGGACTAATTATTAAAGGCCAGACTGTGCGAACTGTGCTTGTGACAATGTACCACGTTAATTCCCTAGGAGAAATAATAATTCGTTGCCATCCCCCATAAAACAAATAACCCCGCGAATGCAGACTACTTTCTATTATTTTTTTTTAACAAAGAAAAGGGTGAAAAGGTACAGTACAGAGGAGTATGCAAATGAACTAAAATAAAGTTGACCAGAATGTAAACCCAAAATGTGAAAACCCAACAATTTTTATCTTCAAAACATTTCCCCTCGTCCAAAACTTCACCCAAACGTTTGAGTAATCATGATAATCAACAATCTCCGTTGCAACAAACACAGTTCAGAGGGTTAAATGCAATAAACCCACCTCTCCAACAAATTAAAAACGCGTTAGATCGCCCTGTAATAAATTCCTCCAAACGTCACTAAAGTTAATCATCAAAAGCAATTGTTAATGTCGCCTTAAATAAATGTAAGTTATTTCGCAGGCCATCCAGTGAATTAAATCAGCTGAATTACGTAGTGCAGTCTCATTTGCATGAGGCTCAAATAAAATCCCAAAGAATGAGAATGAAGGATGAAATAAAAAAAAAAACAACTAAAGAGAAGGAAAAAAAAAACGTTTCATTTCCGTGAGTTCGTTTGCCACGAAATGGTTAAATAGTGGAGTGTATTTCCGTACGTTGATTAAACCGGAAAGAGTTAAAGGGAGCAAAGCCAAGAGCCTCGTTAAAGACGACAAGCTTTTCGGTTGTGTCTCGTCGCGAGTGCCTTTTTCAGACGGTGAATCCATCGATACCAGTGGAAAATTGAGGGGATGAGGGGATTTTGATACCTGGCTAAAAAGTGACTTTGCAACTTCAATGCATACTAAGCGACTTGGTTGTACAGCAGCTATACAGCATGACTGTTGTTCTCTTTCTCTCTCTCTCTCTCTCTCGACATTTTTAAGCCCCCTCTACTCCGGGGTATTTCTTTCAGGTCCCTCTCTAAGCTCATCTTTATGGTCTACCCCCTTTACCCCCTCTGGCAGCCGAGAAACAACACAACTTCGGGAGAATGGGGAGGGTTTTGGTATTATTCAGCGAGGCACTACTGTCACGTTGTGCTTTCATACGTTGTACAAGAGAGGAATAAAGACAGATACAGGTACACACGGTTAATCCCACCAAAGTTCTGGGGATCTACGAGTTTGCTGGAGGGATGGAGAAGAGGTGGGATGATAATGCACATGCGTCTAGTGGAAATAAGAGTTACGTAGCTCGAATATTGCGGTGAGAAGATACGGGCTTTTCGAGAATTTTTGGGAACATTGCTGAACTTTTTCGGTGATGTCTCATTTTTTTTTTGGGGGGGTTATTAAATATCGGGGGGAGTTTATGCGCAGGAGTTTTGCAAGCCGACGTTCTCGAAGGCTACATGTGGAGTATTGGGTTTTCTGTATGGAAATGAATCGATAGGGAAGAAGAATAAGTAATGGGAGGTTTAGTAGAATGAAAAATTAGCGAATTGGCAGCAGTTGACTGAATGGAAATTGACAGTCGTAAAAGTGATGAATTTCAATTATTTTGCGATCAATTCAGCCTCATGAATCGGAATCAAATGGAATTTTATGGTTTTTGTAGTAAAAAAATGTAAAAACCGAATTATTTGAGCTGTTTCGATGCAATAAATATCATGTTATTGAACATTACAGAGATGAAGAGACTAATTAAGAATTTCACTGACTTTTATATGAAAAAATGACTCAATAGAAAATGTTTCAAATAACAAAATTCATATTGAATTAACAATTGATGGATGACAACTATTTCGCGTTCAATTGGGCTTCATGTACGCGATATCATAAGTAGAATTTTTTTTGCAGTTAAAAAGATTCAAAATCCCATTTATGTTTAGAATTTTTCCCAATGCAATTTCAAATACTGATGTTGTCAAATATCAGAAATACTTTTTGCATAAAATTTTGTTGAACCCAAATTGGTTTTATTCGATTCAGATGTATTCTTACTAAAATAAACAATGATTTATTGTGATAAATGCACTAATTAAAAATTCTGAGTATGATTTAGAAGTGTATTGGCTTGTTCATATGAAAATGACTCAATAAAAAATGTTCCAACAAACAAAATGAAGTTAAAAATTCCCAAAATTGATGAAATTCAATTTTTTCACGATCAACTCATCTACAAACACCTGATTAAATCCCAGTTTTCTCCCTTTTCCACTAAAAAAAGCTCCAAAATTCAATTCCGACACTTGAACATTCTCAAACAGCCGCATTCTCACGCATATCCAGAGCTACGTAATGGTAAAACCCCAAGCATTTCGCAAATGTAATGAACAATGATTGAAAATGTAATAAATCCATCACAAATTGACAATTACCTGATGCATCGGGTCGTAACCCATTGAGCCGTCGTTGTAGGGTTGCGAGCCATAATCACTTCCATTAATTCCCATACCGTATCCAGCCATGTCCTGTGGACCACCTGGTGGTGCTGGTGACATCATCGGCGTTGGTGTGCCCTGGCTAGCACCGCCCATACTGTACGGCGATGCTCCTGCAAAAGCTGCTGTAGAAACCATCGCGGTGCTTACATAGATCGAGGGGTAGCTAACTATTTTTCTTCTACATAAAAAAATGTCTCTTCCTTTCATCTGTGAATTCTTCGTTTGTGCCCTTTCGTTGTGCCATTTTTTCCGTTAGATTCGATATTTTTTGATTCAATTCATTGTTTGTAATCATTATAAATTATCAGCTGATAAATTTTCATGTTGCAATTGATGATTTGATCGTGTTCTAATTTCTGTATGCTCACTGAATAAGATTTTAATCATTATTGCAGTTCAATTCCGTCTAGAACACACTTTAGAGTGAAAATTTCTGGAGAAATGCGTGCCCACATTGTTATCAATTTTTGATTAATTCACACGGTAATTCAATTAATCTGCTGTTCATCTCATTAATATAATTTCCTGCTTAGAATATTGTTATTTCGTGTTTTCAGCAGGAAATTAAAAATCAATTGCCTTCAGATTCTCATATCCTTAATGTTAAAAGTGTAAGATAATCTCATAATTCTAGCTGTTAATTATAATCAACTTTGTTCGAGAAATATCTTAGCGAACGCAATATTAAAAAAGTCGAATTATTCTATTTTCCTCTGACCTAAATGATTTGGACAATTATGATTCGTTTATTCGTGTTTCATAGAATGGTATTTAATTATCTTTTGGTCCGTGCTGTCAATGCTTTTTCCTGACAGAAAAAAAAACGAAATTTGAAAATTGAAATGTGAATTTAATTCACACCGAATTCAAGACCATATTTACCTGAATTTGCCTAATTTCCGTTAATTTCTACGGAATAATTGAACTGAAATTTACAATTCCCATTGATTTTTGAATTTTCAATGATGAAATTCCTTAAAATTTCAGTGAAACTATAAAAATTTTGAGAATTAACCCTAAACTAATCGACTCTAATCGCTAATATTTCAACATTAATTATCATAATAAAAAATTAAAATTTCCAGTGACAAAATTATCTGAGTTCTCCCCAATTTTTCATTTTTACTTTCTCCATCTGAAGAACAGCTCATTAGATTTATCGGCAGGAGAGGAGAAACAAAGAATAGGTAAGTGAATGAGCTGTAACTCACTTGCCAAATGATTTACGATAATGAGAGTCACGCTACCACGGTACTACACAGAAGAATTTTCCCATTTTTTTTTTCAAACGAAAGAACGAAGGATTCACAAAATGAAAATGAAAGAAGTAAAAAAAAAGTTTGCAAAAGGAACAAACATAAAAATTCATGTTTTCGTAAGATAATAAATTCTCTACCCCTGAGAATACTATTTTTGTTGGTGTAATTCGTATAATCTATGTGGATAGGGATTTTTTTTTCATCCACTTGATTCTACTTTTCACAACTTACCGGCAGCCTTTTTAGCCGCGTATAAATTCGCCTCTTCCTGCGCTTTGCCGATGTTTTTCTTGTAACGTATCCTCTTGTTACCGAACCAATTGGATACCTGGGGAGAGAAAATTTATTATTGTATTGATATTTACGCGGGATTTACTCGTGTCCTCTAACGAAAACTAAATATAGAGTATTTTATTGTGACATTGAAATGTTTTGCGTTGTGTTTTACTTCGAAATGGGAATATTTGGACAATTTTACTTTATAGTTTAATTTTTTTGAGGGAGAATGGGAGGAATGAATTTTTAACGTTTCTCTCAAAATGTCGAGCGACTATTTTAGGGGAGGTTGGGGCAAAGTGGACACTTGCCTTCTTTTATTTTTATAACTCAGAAACGCATGTATCAATCGAGTCTCATGACTTCTATGAAATAAAAATTATTCCATTCAAGTGACATTTCAACATTTCATTAATATTTCAAGAAAGAGTCTCAAGTATTCATTTTATTCCACTTGACCCTATTTTGATGGAATTCTCTGAAGTCTTTTATCAGAAAATAATAATTGAAATATTAAAAAACAATATACTTTACAGTTTTAATTTTTTTGGGTACGAATGAAAGAAAATAGCATTATTATTTGAAAAACTGACAGATTAGAATTGTTTTGACTTTATTTATTTCTAAATGAAGAATGAACCTGAATATTTCTGTAAGAGTTCAACAAATTTTTCATCAAGTTTTATAAATGACAAATAAATGGTCTCTTGCAAAATTATTACTACAACAATTCAGTTGAAATTATTAATTAATTTACCTGACTGACGGTGATGCCGCACTTCCTCGCAAGCTCCTCTTTCGCCTCTTCGCTCGGATAGGGATTGCTTAGGTGTGAATAAAAGTACTCGTTGAGTATCTCGGAAGCCTGTTTGCTGAAATTCCTTCGTTTACGTCTACAAAGAGAAACCAACAAAATTAAAGTGGCCCGAAATGACGGCAAAATCGGTGAAATTCGGGTTCTTGTGGAGCATAAAAACGAACCTGGCATCGAGGAATCGACTCCTGAGAATCATAACTGCCTCGCAAGTCGACTGTTTGAGCTGCATCTGAATGCTGGAGAATTTTTTGTGAATAATCTGCACCATCCTCTCGATTTCCTTCGGGGTAATTGGCCTTGTGCGACTCTGTTCTCTCAGGAGATTCATAACATGCGTTGTGAATTCATTGCATGCCTGTAAACGGACATGATCGTGTTGCAAATCTTATCCATCATAATTCTACATTGTCAGTATCAATTTGTTAGGAAATAAAATTTTTCTAAATCGAAAAATCCCAGCTAAAAGTGCAATCCCGATTTGAAGCTTGAAACTAAAGCCGAAAGCTTAAAATTAAAATTAAATTATTAACATTATTGTTTAGGCCCTCCATCTGCACTAAAAAAAAATCTATTACTAACTTGAAAAAAATTATGCCCCTCAGGAACTCAACCCAAAAATTTCCGCTACAACAACCCAAAAAATCCAAAAATTCCTGCTAAAAGTTCAATCTCGATTTGAAACTTAACAGTAAGCTTTATTTGAAGTTTAAAATTAAACCTAAAAAATTTAAAATTAAAATTGAATACTCAAAAATCGTTTTGTTTAGTGCCCCCGTCTCTAAAAAAAATATTTTTCACTCAAAAAATCTATGCCTCATAAAAATTTCTCAAAAAATTCTCTTCCAACAACCCAAAAAACCCAAAAATCCCAGCTAAAAGTTCCATCTCGATTTGAACCTTAAAATTAGGCTTCATTGAAGCTTAAAATTTCATCTAAAAAATTTGAAATTAAAATTAAATACTCAAAAATCATTTAGTTTGGTTCCCCCTGTCCTAAATCTATTTTCCACTCAAAAAACGTATGCCTCAAAAAATATCTCAAAAAATTCTCACCCAACACCCCAAAAAATCCAAAAATCCCAGCTAAAAGTTCAATTTCGATTTGCAGCTGAAAATTAAATCTAAAAAATTTAAAATTTAAATTAAATACTCAAAAATCATTTAGTTTCGTCCCCCCGTCTAAAATCTATTTTTCACTCCAAAACCGTATGCCTCAGAAAATATCTCAAAAAATTCTCTTCCAACAACCCAAAAAATCGAAAAATCCCAACTAAAGCTCCAGCCCTCCCCGAAAAAATGCATTATTCGCAACGGCTGTGGCTTCCAAGGGGAACAAGCTTGATACTCCAGCTGGATATCAGTATTCGAGACGACGTTGGGTAGCTTTTCCTCCGGGAAAGCGCGGATGAGGGGACGAGGATGGGGCGAGGGCCACACCGGGGGGCGTGGGGGGTGGATGGAAAAGCGGATGGCTTGCAATTTCGGAATGGATTCCACTCTTGCGTCCCCACTTCGTACTAGGCAAGAACCCTATACTCCACAAACCACCCCAGAGGGTGGATCAGGATCGCTCCCGTCTGCTGCCCCCGGGAATGGCCGTAGGGTGGTGAAAACGAGAAAAAGAGGGTGAGATTGGATGGAATATCCCCTGCATACCCCCCCCCGGTCCACCCTCGTTTCTCCATTCGGCTTTTCCTCATCTTCTCGGGTTTTTCTTTTTCATCAAAAATTGACTAGTCCAATGTCTTTAAGAATAATCGTCCTAGGGAATAAATTCGAGTGATGCATGGAAATTGGAATTTTCAGGTTTGATTATTTGAAACTGTGGAAACTGGGAAAATGGCAGATTGGCTGAGGAATGCAGACACATCTAAATATAGACGTACATACGGTGGATGGAATTTCCTCGCTGGCTTTGCACTACCCTGACGCAATATATCCTGAGTATTTGTGAATCCGATGAGTTTTCATAAACTCGGAAAATCAACTCAGAACATGATTATGGTAATGGGTGGTCGCTTGAAATTACATTCAACATTGCATTCACTTCGGTTTCGTCAAGGATTTTTAATTCTCACGCTCTGGTATTCTGGGAGCTTCAGAGAGGAGCCGATATTTGAACAAATACGGCAGGAATGGATTTCACTGAGTGAATGTCTTCTATTATTTGTTAAGATATACTAAAAAAATTTAATTAAGAGATTTTGACTGAAATTTGTGATACAGTTTTTGGAAATTTTCAGGACGGAAATCAAAATTTTATACAATAATCAATGAAAACTGTAAATTCACGTTCAATTATTTTATTATCTATAGAAATTGATAGAAATCTAATCGATTTTCCGAATTTTCATAAAAATCTCTTGAAATTCAACGTTGCATTCATTCTCGTTTCATTTCAATTAAAAAATTAATTGTCTATTATTCAATACTAAACAATTAATTTCACAGAATTTCAATACTAAACAATTAATTGAAAAATTAATTGTTTAGTAATGAAATTCTGGGAGTTTCTGGAGATGTTGGAGCTTCAGAAGTATATTTTATAGTCGATTTTAGATGACAAATATATCGGAAATGGACTTTACTGAGTAAATATCATCTATCATTTGTTCAGCAACGCTAAAAAATTTATAAATTAAGAAATTTTGACTAAAATTTCTGGTACAATTTTTGGAAATTTTAATCACATTTTAGTTCCACTGATATTTCAAAATGTTTCGTCATTGAAAAATCGAAATTTTATGAAAAAATAAAGAAACTATAAATTTTAATTCAATTATTATGTCGAAATTGACAGAAATCTTATCAATTTTCTGAATTTTCATTTTAAAAAATCTTAAAATGATATTCAACGTCGCATCCACTTAATTTCCTATAGAAATCAAGGATTTTTAATTCTCACGTTCTGGTATTGGAATTCAAGAAGTTGCTGGAGAGAGATCTCTCAACAAGAGCCAATATATAAAATTACATATAGGAACTGCGATCGAGATATCCTGGAGCTCTGAAAGTACATGGCTGAGGTTTCAAGAGGAAAATGAAGGGGAAAATCAAGCCCTGGATTTATCGAACATGTCATCTGACCCGTCCGACTATTGCCTCTCTCGTTTGACCCGGGTGAATGGGAAAAAAATGTTTTTTGTTATGTGGGAGACTTTGGAGGATTGGATGGGGGGACAATGGAGTAAGGTGGAGGTGAGATTAGACGAACCTGTCTTATCTTCCAGGAGAAATGTTTCATGTTTAGTTTCCCTCAGATGAGGTTTTGTCACTGACGTCGGAGGCAAATGGAATGTATGGAACTAATCTTCTGAAATTCAGGGATTTTTTTATTTTTGGTGAAGAGAATTTGAAAGCTGTAGAATCATTCGTGGGAATATCTGATTCTGAAATTTTGAATTTCGTTTTAATGGTTGCAATTTAAATTCTTGTTCATTATCGGACATGTGAGAAGTGAAAAATAATTATTTTGACACTGGATTTTGCTGGATGAATTAAAATTGTTGATGATCATTCTCATTGCAAAAAGCAATACAACTAATAAGAATCATATGTCCGAATTTGTCAGCTGTTCAATTTCCATATTACAATAAAGGATTTGCTCATGTTCTAATTCCTATGCTCACTGAAAAAGATTTAATCACAATTACAATTCAGTTCCCCCTGGAACACACTTTAGAGTGTGAATTTCTGGAATTCAATGTATGTCGATACTCTGGTAAAAGTGCGTGCCCACACTGTTATCAATTTTTAGTTAGTTCACACGGTAATTCAATTAATCTGTTGTTCATCTCATCAATATAATTCCGCGCTTAGAATATTGTCATCTCGTGTTTTCAGCACCAAATTAAAAATGAAAACTCCATTTGGAATATTGAGCCACAGCTTCTTTTTATTCATATCAGAAATATTGTATTTGGATATTAATGTTATTTGTTCAAAATGAAAAAATCGATCATCATTTTCACTATATTGCATTCAGATTCTCCTATCCTTAACGTCAAAAATGTGAGATAATCTCATAATTCTAGCTATTAATTCTAATCAACTTTGTTCGAAGAAAACCTTAGTCATCGCAATATGAAGAAAGTAGAATTATTCTATTCTCCTCTGACCTAAATGATTTGAACAATTATGATTCGTTTATTCATGTTTCATAGAATGGTATTCAATTCTATTTTGTTTGTTAGGCGGACTTCATAAAAATTCGACGCAAGACCATTGCACTCATGCAACCCGCCTTTCTCCATTCGTTCCAGATACTGCTCATGTTTTTTTTTAGAAAATAAATTGAAAATTAAATACAAAATGTCGTCATTCTGACTTGAGTTTTGGCTAAATGTCTTGGAATTGAATTGAGATGAAGAAATTTTCATTGAGACATTATCTGCAGTCGAATGGTCTCATCTCATTTCACCCCTTCCCACTAAATTCTATACAATTTCATGCATTCGTGTATCGCTCTCACCCCACAATTTCCTCAACTGCTCTCCCCCTACAATTTCTCAAGAAAAATCTATTCTTATACTCTGAACCCCGTGTTTCGTCAGTGGTTTAATATTTCAAGTAAATTTTTTTCTTGCAAATTTTAACTGCCAGACATTAGTGCATGTATATTCAAAGGGGTTACGTGGGCGTGTTTACGACTGGGAAAAACATGAATACCGCTGACACTCGGGTGAGATACGAGGGGGGTGTGTACCTTCCGTCACGCAGGACAGAAAAATATTTTCCGCCTCTTAAAAAAAGGAGAATGAAAAAAAAACAGTTTTGATGAACGAGGGGAGTAAAAATTGTTTGAGGACACCCGTTAGGTGACTCTTGGCCTCTGTGCAGCTGCAGTGCAGGTCGCACGCGAGCGGCACGGAGAGGTACGTCTTCGGGACACTGAGTTGATACTCAATTGTCTCTGAATGTCAGTAATTGGAGGGAATCATCAAGTTATATTCATTTTGATGAAGGCAGCCCGGAGAATTGAATGGATTCAACTGACATTTGATATCGAATTGAATGCTGATAGCCTTGAAATACAGCAAGCTTTCACACGATTTCCAGGCGAATGATGTTGAATTCAATTTAGGGGAAAAAATCATGAAGTTTTTGGTTTTACTGAAAATTCAATGAAGTTCTTAATTTCTGAGCAGCAAAAAGACGAGAGTTCTCTAATTTACGTGTGGATTCAGAAACAAATTATGCGCAATTTTTAATTAATTGAAAATTCAAGAATATATTTATGTGAGTTTCACAATTTTCACTGTTTTTTGCATAAAATTTTAAATATTCAATTAAGAAATTTCGTGAAATTTCAGTGGAACTATAATGCAATAAAAATTTCCAAGAAGTTTACCGGAAATTTCATGGACAGTTGACCAGTGCTTCTCCGGAGAACGACACTAAATTCGATTTAGGTGGAAAAAAATTATGGAATTTCAGATTTCATTAGAAATTCAATTTTAAAAAATAATTTGAGTAGCAGAAAGACTAGAATTTCCCAATCTATTTGGAATTTCAATCACAACATTAATATCCGGTACCAAATTACGCTGAATTTTTAATCCCCAAATATATTTATTTGAATTTTCACTAATTTCTGCAAATTTTTATGGAATGGTTGAACTGAAATTGACAGTTTTCACTGAAAATATTTAATTACGAAATTCCGTGAAATTTCAGTGGAATTATAATGCAATAAAAATTTCCAAGAAGTTTACCGGAAATTTCATGAACAGTTTGAGTAGTGATTCTCCGGAGAACGACAATAAATTCTATTTAGGTGGAAAAAAATTATGGAATTTCAGATTTCATTAGAAATTCAATTTAAAAAAATTATTTGAGTAGCAGAAAGACTGGGATTTCCCAATCTATTTGGAATTTCAATCACAACATTAATATCCAGTACCAAATTACGCTGAATTTTTAATCCCCAAATATATTTATTTGAATTTTCACTAATTTCTGCAAATTTTTATGGAATGGTTGAACTGAAATTGACAGTTTTCACTGAAAATATTTAATTACGAAATTCCGTGAAATTTCAGTGGAATTATAATGCAATAAAAATTTCCAAGAAGTTTACCGGAAATTTCATGAACAGTTTGAGTAGTGATTCTCCGGAGAACGACAATAAATTCTATTTAGGTGGAAAAAAATTATGGAATTTCAGATTTCATTAGAAATTCAATTTAAAAAAATTATTTGAGTAGCAGAAAGACTGGGATTTCCCAATCTATTTGGAATTTCAATCACAACATTAATATCCAGTACCAAATTACGCTGAATTTTTAATCCCCAAATATATTTATTTGAATTTTCACTAATTTCTGCAAATTTTTATGGAATGGTTGAACTGAAATTGACAGTTTTCACTGATTTTTCCATAAGATTTTGAATAATCAACCGAGGTTTAGCAAAATTATCTCGTCCGAAATGAAACCTTAGCTTCTATTTTCCGACAAGATTAAATTGTATAATATGACAGGTGCCCCCTCAAAAACGTCCTCCATCCGATCATAATACAATTCAACCTGATGGCTGATCCTTCCAAACAACAAAAAAAAAAGCCCAAGAGGAAAGAACAAATCAACCGAGGTTTAGCAAAATTATCTCGTTTGAAATGAAACCTTGGTTGCTTGGCTTGTCACGTGAAAAGATATCCCAGGTATGTATTATACGTCGAAGTGAGAGCCAGACGGCACGCGATACTCGTATCTCGTTGTTCCACGATGGCACGACACGCGAGATTTTACTTAGGCAAGCGCAAGCGCCGGTTCATTAGCACGCAAATCGTCGTTGCATTCTGTCTACCCTCTAACTAAAGCCCCCCCGCTCGCCGAAAATTACGTTTTCTTATCGCTGGAATTTGTTCATGGGAGCGAAGGGGAGACTCACCAGTGAGTTGAGAGCCTTTTAAATCCACAGGAATAAATTTCACGACTAAATAATCGCCCATTTAATTAACGAAAAGGAAAAATATGAGACGAGTGCCAAGAATTTTCTGTTTCCACTGACATTCCAAGCTGAGGGGCTTTGAATTGAATCAATTGGTGGCTTACGGATCCAGTGGCCAATGAATGGACCTTCATTCGATGAAAAATTCAGACGGTAAAGACTACCTGTTCGTATTTCTCGAGCTCCTGATGATAAATCTGTCGGATTTGAGCGAGCTTGGCACGATAATCCGAGTGCTCGATGGCATTGTCTGGCTGTCCTGGTGGTCCAGCAGCTGCTGCTGCCGAGGCAGAGGCTGCTGCACCAGCACCACCACCCTTCTCAGGCCCAGCTACACCCTCAGCCACTAGCATATTGTCTAGTCTCATCAGTTGGGGATCTGGGGGCTCGTCCTCCTGGGTATTCCTCAGCGAGAGAACTGCAAAGAAAGGGTTCATAAATTGATGAGAAATTCATTTTTTATTTCAAATTAATAATTTTTATTGATGAAATAGCGATTATTTATTCGTGTGGAGCTGAAATAAAATAATGTTTACTATTATGTATCATTATTTCATCTATTCAAACGGAAAACTTCATAAAATGAAAGTTTTAAACAAATTCTGTCAATAATTTCACATTTATATTCATTTTTTTTCTGGAAAGAAGCAAAGGGAGTCGTCTGGAATTAAATGATGAAAACGCGATCAAAAGAGCAATAAAATGAGAACTGCAGAGAAAGGGTTGATAAATTATGAGAAATTCATTTTATATTTCAAGTTAACAATTTTATCGACGAAATAGTGATTATTTATTCGTGTGGATCTGAAATAAAATATTGTTTACTATTTTATAACATTATTTCACTCATTGAATGTACATGAAATAATTTTTTTTATTCAAAGAAAAAACTTGATGAAATGAAACAGTTTCAAAAAAATTCTATCAATAATTTCACATTTATATTCATTTTTTTGGAAACACAAAACAAGGGAGTCGTCTCCGCCATCAAAAAATATATTTTAAAAATATATAATATAGGCCAATTCCATATATTTTTAATACATAAACATCTATTTAACATATATTATTTTTTAACATATACTTTATATGTTTTTTATATAAATTATTTTTCAAAACATAAATTTTTCCGTGTGGGCTACAACTAAATAATGAAAACTCAATCAAAGGAGCAATAAAATGAAGGAAAGGCTGCGCAACTCATTCTGTCCCGAAATGAATGGAAAAAACTAGTACGAGTATTTGATCCGAGCTTGAAGCTCAGATAAACGTCCAAATAAATGATAAAAATAGAGAAGATTCGCCAGAAAAATATCAAGAATCGACAGTCGTTTCACTTCCACGCCAGTCGCACGTTTGTCGAATCATAAAAGAATCAATTTCACTATCCATCGAGTATGCCCTATCCCTTTCCCCCCCGCAGTGTTTTCTCTCCGTCTTTTTTCTCATGTTCGAAATCGACATTCTATGGCGGTCTATTCCTCCTCTTAGCACTCATCTCTCTCCTCTCTTACTCTTTTTCAGGATCAGGGTTTTGCTGTACGCAGTGGTTTAGAGTCGGTGGGTTTTCTCTATGTGCGGTAACAGCGGTTTTATTGTACTTTTACGACGCGTGATGGAGCTGGACGAGCTATAAAAACGCTGGCTGCTGGAGTTCTACGGACCGCCGACGTCTTACCCGCATGGGCTATACACGTTGGCTTGAATATAGTGAGACAGGCTTCTTTCTTGATATTTCGTTGTATTTTCTCGGTGAACTCTGGGTGGATTGGATCGCACATTCAGTTCGACAATTTTAATATTGCGAGGATGAGTTGTTCTGGCGGCCAAACGTGCAATCACGTGTCTGAGATTAATTCCAATTGACTGAGACTTCCAATACATTTCTTGGAAATTTTTATATCAGTTGCACTGAAATTCCAAGGAATTTTTCATTGTCATTGAAAATTCAACATTTTTGGGAAAAATCTATGGAAATTGTCAATTTTAATTTAATTATTACCGAATATTCCTGTTTATTAAAATTGAAACTAGTTGAGAACTTCTCGTCTTTCTGTTTCTCAAAAATAGACAATTTCATTGAATTTTCAGTGAAATATAAAATTTAATAATTTTTCCCCTAAATTGAATGTCACTCTCCCAAAAATGACTGAACAGAAGAAAAATCTAGAAAGTTTCATTAATTTCGTTCCCACCATTCTCCCCTCATAAATAAGTAATGAAGATAGTGAAATCTTTTAAAAATATAATTGATTTTTTCCAAATTAATTCTCAAAAAGTTACATTTTTAAATCATTTAAGCACAAAAATCCCCAATGATGCACTCATGATAAATAATAAATAATAAACCAATCCGACCATGCCAATCAGACGAATAAAACTTTTCAATTCGAGTGTCAACGTAAAGAGACCATGTAATGAATTCGCTCGACTAATCCATTTATACGATGTGTAACAATTAAACCCGAGAAAAGGGGAAGAATTTCAAAAGTTTAAGAATGAGAATTATTCGAGTCTCTGGAGATGCCGAGAGTCGAGGGTGCTCTTTAAAACTGTGAACGGAAAAGAAATCCCCGACATTACGACCGAGAATTCCTCACCAACGATAACTTCCCGAGTTTTAATTAAAAAAAGTGATGAAAACTATCGACATTAAGGTATATCCCCAGAAAAAAACAGGATTTTCTTATCATTGCCCACATGTTTTTCATAGATTTTTATATTTCCCAGCTATTGAAAAAACCTGTCAGTGAATTTTTTATAAAATTAATTAATAAATTTATTTATTTATTTATTAATGAATTGTTAAGTATACAAAATTAATAAATTAATTGATTCATTAATTTTTAATTATTAAATTATTATTTCTTTTACATTAATAAATTAATTAAAAATTAATGAATTAATTAATTTATTAATTTCGTAACTTCGAAAAATGAAAAATTGAAAATAAATAATGAATGTCATTAATAAATTAATTAATTCATCAATAAATAAATTAATTAATTGATGAATTAATTAATTTATTAATTTTGTGTACTCCATTGTTTCTCCGATATTAAACTCTAAAAAATGGAAATTTCGTGAAATAATTTCTTATATGATTCAAAAAATTAACTAACAAATAATTTTTTATTTGATTAAAACAGTTATTGTTGCCTTCATCAAAAACATGTGAAGAAACCTGAATAATTTGTAAGAGCGCGATAAATCAAGTCATTTAGAATTTTTTCCGGAACTCCATAGGGACTAACTTTTGTGTGATATTGTCTTGGGATACACCTTAAGTTGTTTATGCGATTTCTGGTGTGAATAAAATGGCACTTATCTCCCCGGATAAATTGAATGGAATAACGAATACTGCTATTGAGACAATCAGGGGGGAGGACACTTAACGCCCAATAATCTAACTATCAGGCCACGAAGGGCGTAACTGTGCCGCAAAGAGGGCGACGGGGAGGGGAGGGGTTCGAGAGGGAACTATCACTTTATACACTGTCTTTCTCGGTACGTTATATCCACCCTGTATGCTTTTCCCACTGGAGGGGGCCCTTACAAGCGCGTAAACTCAGTTTTACTGGCAGTTAACATTTTACGACTCAAACGGTCTGCCACGGGCTCCCGTGCGCGCACCCCTGTCCAATGCAACTTCCCTTCCCCGGCTTCAGTTGTACTTTACACTACTCCGTGTTGATCTTCCATATGTCTGTTCTAGAGCACTTACGTATTGTAAGTGGGTGTATTATCGGGTGTTGATCGGAGTTGAAGGGGAGAAAACGAAGCGATATAAAAATGATCGTCAGCGTCAAAATTTTGTAATAAATAAATAATTGATTCGAATTGTTGATTCAGCCATCCACTCATATCCGTCAGAAACCATGATATTCGCCGAGAATAATTAATTTTTTTTCGTATAGATTTTCGTTGAAACAAGGGCCGTAAGACTTTTGGAAAATTCAATTTCCCAAGGTTTTCCTCTGAGACTTGACGAGGAATGCAATCGCATCCGGAGAAAGGAAAGGGAGGGAACACCAATAGTAGTATTGTAAGAATAAGAGAAATAAGGGAATGAGAGAATAGTGGGAAAGCCGGGGGAAAATGTTAAGGGTCTTCGCACCTCGAGAAAGCCCCCGCCCCGTTCATTTTTCCCCGTTCATTTTGGGATAAAATCCTTCGGGAATGAAGGAGAGAGGACTCTGGGATTCTCCGGGTCGCGTCAATCCCTCGGGGAGACGGGATATTGACACACGGCAATAATAATATCTATAGGCCCTGCTCCACTGATTCACGGAGAGGTTGTCTCATACGTTTTTTTTTCCTTTTATTTATTTTTTTTATGGATGATGGATTCAGGGGGTTTGGTGGTGGCGATAGGCTTTTAGATTCGAGAAACCTTTCTGGGACATTCTCGTGAATTATCTTCATTCGTAATTCAAGCCAATATGAATTTAGTAGCGAAGCGGTAAACCGGGTCAAGTCGGTTTTGACTTTTGGCCAGTTTTTTATGAATATCTCAGAATCTAAGAGAGATAGCAAAATTTTTCTCATAGCCCTTTTTATAACCCTCACTTGACTCTACAAAAAAGGTCATGACAAGAATTTTTCTATCTCTTTTAGATTCCGAGATAATCGTCAAAAACTGGCCAATAGTCAAAATCGACTTAAACCATTTTACCGCTTCGCTACTCAATTCATTTGTTGATGCAAGGAATTCATACGAATTCAATACGAATTCTTTGTTGACGATTCTTGGCCCTCAAAATTCCGCATTTCAGCCATCGTCCCACAAAAATCAACCCCCCATTAAATTCAAGAAATATTTCCGCCCGATACATTTAAATTCTCCGATATCCCAGCGCACTCCTCTCAATATCATAACCGACTTTCGTTAAAAAATTGCCAAGTTAATTCAGTGGAGCGAGTCAGAACTCCCGTGGGAGCACTCTCGTCGATTGGATATTGCGGAAGATGACAGAGACAGAACCGAAATAAAGCATGCGTACAGCCGACGCCGGTGAGCCCCCACGAGTGGAACAGGGACCAACTTTTTGACTCCTTTATATTCCCGATCCCCTCCCCTTCCCCCCTCCCTCCTCACGAGATACGTATCACCCCTGCTAGATGGAATGGAGAGGGGTTGGATAAAATTTTACTGCCGAGGAATCGCTCAATAATTGTTACTGCTCGCTTTGATCGCGTAAAACACGTCGTAAACGTCTCCGTAGGGCGGCCCTCGCTCTCTCGGCTCTCCCCCCCCCCTTCCAGAAGCTCCAGTGGAATATGGGGGGGGGCTCCTCTAACCTCAAACTGTCCATACAAAATTTGTTTGGGGAAACAAAGGGGAACGATCCGACAATTTATTCCGCCCGGAGAGAAATTTGCGGGTGGCTGCATCGATACAGCTGTAATTCTACGTGG